GAGTAATCCAATATGGCTGCCTGAGGGAGTTAGACAAGATGGCGGCTGACGTGAATAATCCAATATGGCTGCCTGTGGGAGTTAGACAATATGGCGGCTTCTCTTGGACAATCCAATATGGTGTCACCTGATCCAATATGGCTGCTCCCAATCCAGTATGGCTGCTCCCATATTTCAATCCAATATGGTGTCACCTGATCCAATATGGCTGCTCCCAATCCAATATGGCAGCAGTCAATCCAATATGGCGGCACTGGATCCAATATGGCTGCTCCCAATCCAATATGGCGGCGCCTGATCCAATATGGCTGCTCCCACAGCTCAGCCCAATATGGCGGCCCCCATGTCCCAATCCCAAGATGGCCGCCCCTGGTCCAAGATGGCCGCCGTGCCGTGCCCGAGCTGTGATTGATGGATTGATTGATTGATCAATTGATTGATTGATCGGTTGATTGATTGATGGATTGATCAATCGATTGATGGATTGATGGATGGATTGATTTTTGTTTGGTGCTTGCAGTGAAGGGCGACGACCTGCAGAGCATCAAGAAGGAGCTGGGGCAGATCAAGGCCAAGGTGGACGCGCTGCTGGAGAGCCTCGAGCGGCTGGAGCGCGAGCAGAGTGAGTGAAACTGGGTAAACTGGGACAGACTGGGACAAACTGGGACCTGAACTGGGACCTGAACTGGGAACCGAACTGGGAACCGAACTGGGGAAACTGGGGCCTTAAACTGGGAACCAAACTGGGAGCTGAGCTGGGAGCACGCGCTGCTGGAGAGCCTCGAGCGGCTGGAGAGGGAGCAGAGTGAGTGAGAAACTGGGTTAAACTGGGGTTAAACTGGGACAGACTGGGAACCAAACTGGGAACTGAGCTGGGAGCACGCGCTGCTGGAGAGCCTCGAGCGGCTGGAGAGGGAGCAGAGTGAGTGAGAAACTGGGTTAAACTGGGGTTAAACTGGGACAGACTGGGAACCAAACTGGGAACTGAGCTGGGAGCACGCGCTGCTGGAGAGCCTCGAGCGGCTGGAGAGGGAGCAGAGTGAGTGACACAAACTGGGTAAACTGGGACAGACTGGGACAAACTGGGACCCTGAACTGGGAACCGAACTGGGGAAACTGGGGCCTTAAACTGGGAACTGAGCTGGGAGCACGCGCTGCTGGAGAGCCTCGAGCGGCTGGAGCGCGAGCAGAGTGAGTGACACAAACTGGGTAAACTGGGACAGACTGGGAACCTGAACTGGGGCCAAACTGGGGCCTTAAACTGGGAGATCCAAACTGGGGGAGCCTGGAGCGGCCGGAGCGCGAGCAGAGTGAGTGACACTGGGTAAACTGGGACAGACTGGGACAGACTGGGAACCTGAACTGGGGCCAAACTGGGGCCTTAAACTGGGAGATCCAAACTGGGGGAGCCTGGAGCGGCCGGAGCGCGAGCAGAGTGAGTGACACTGGGTAAACTGGGACAGACTGGGACAGACTGGGAACCTGAACTGGGGCCAAACTGGGGCCTTAAACTGGGAGATCCAAACTGGGGGAGCCTGGAGCGGCCGGAGCGCGAGCAGAGTGAGTGACACTGGGTAAACTGGGACAGACTGGGACAGACTGGGAACTTTCCCCCATTTCCCCCCGTTTTCCCCCATTTTCCCCCCATTTCCCATTTTTGCCCATTTTCCCCCATTTCCCATTTTTCCCCCATTTCCCATTTTTGCCCATTTTCCCCGTTTTCCCCCCATTTTTCCCCATTTTCCCCAAATCCCCCGTTTTTCCCCATTTCCCCCATTTCCCCCCCCGGCAGAGGCCAAGGGCGACAAGGCGGAGGAGGAGCCGGGCGCCTCGGGCTCCAAGAAGGACGAGGCCGGCGGCGCCAAGGCCGAGGGCGGCCACGAGGACTCGGCCGAGGAGGGCGACCTGCTGGACGACGACGAGGCCGAGGAGAGGGGGGATGAACAGGTACAGACCAGTACAGACCAGTACAGACCAGTATAAACCAGTACAGACCCGTTAGGGACCCGCCCTGCCCCAAACCAGTACAGACCAGTACAGACCAGTACAGAGCAGGGCCCCCCTGTCCCTGCTGGACGACGACGAGGCCGAGGAGAGGGGGGACGAACAGGTACAGACCAGTATAAACCAGTACGGACCAGTATAAACCAGTATGGATCCCGTAGGGACCTCCCTGTGAGCCCCCTGCCCCAAACCAGTACAGACCAGTACAGAACAGGCCCCCCCCGTCCCTGCTGGACGACGACGAGGCCGAGGAGAGGGGGGATGAACAGGTGAGACCAGTATAAACCAGTATGAACCAGTATGAACTGCTATGGACCCTGTAGGGACCCGCCCTGCCCCAAACCAGTACAGACCAGTACAGACCAGTGCAGAGCTGTTTGAAACTGACTCCCCAGTACCAACCAGTGCCCTCCCAGTCCAGACCAGTACAGACCAGTGACTCCCCAGTGCCCTCCCAGTGACTCCCAGTAAAGACCAGTATGGAACAGGGACCCCCCCAGTCCACACCAGTGACCCCAGTACACCCCAGTGCCCTCCCAGTACCCCCAAACCCCCTCCCAGTAAAGACCAGTAACCCCAGTGCTCTCCCAGTATCCCCAAACCCTCTCCCAGTCCCCTCCCAGTCCAAACCAGTAACCCCAGTCCCCTCCCAGTCCCCTCCCAGTCCAAACCAGTGACCCCAGTCCCTCCCGCAGCCGGAGTCGCTCAAGGGGACCAGTATGGACCAGTATGGACCAGTATGGACCAGTATGGACTGGTACGGACTGGTACAGACTGATATAAACCAGTATAGACCGGTATAAACCAGTATGGACCAGTACGGACTGGTATTGGACCAGTATAGACTGATATAAACCAGTATGGGCCAGAGCGAGAGCGGGGACGGAACACGGGGACCCAGGAACGAGAAGGTCTGTGGGACCAGTATAAACCAGTACGGACCAGTACGGACTGACACAAACCAGTATGGACCGGTATAAACCGATATAAACCGGTACAGACTGATACAAACCAGTACGGACCAGTACAGACCAGTCCAAACCATTACACGGCAATATAAACCAGTTCCTCCCAGTGCTCCCAGTATAATCCAATACAAACCAGTGCCCCCCAGTATAACCCAGTACTCCCAGTACAAACCAATACAAACCAGTATAAACCAGTAACCCCAGTCCCCCCCAATCCCCTCCCAGTTTGATCCCAGTCCCATTCCCATTCCCTCCCAGTACAAACCAGTACAACCCAGTCCCTCCCAGTATAACCCAGTCCCATTCCCAGTCCATCCCAGTATAACCCAGTCCCTCCCAGTCCAAACCAGTACAACCCAGTCTCATTCCCAGTCCCCCCCAGTCCCCCCCAGTCCCTCCCAGTCCCTCCCAGTATAACCCAGTCCC